TTTTTAGTATGTAGCCGTGTAATAAGCGGTATAATGTGCTGCTAGGTGGTCATTGGGGGGGGGGGGGGGGCGCAGTGTGATCATGGAGCCCGCGGAGGGATCTAGATTTTAATAGCGACCGCATTAAGTTTTCATTTGATTTACGTCACTTAACTGCAGCACTTCTACGCTACTGCAGTGAGGCAATGTGTGTTTTCCTCGCTTTTGTTAACTTTTACTGAGCGATAGTAGGCTACGAGGTGCAGATAGTTTTAATAGTGCTGAACTTTTTTCACTTGTTCGTGTTCACTGAAAGACATAGATTTTTTTTTTCACCCAGTTGCTGGTTTTGTCACCTTTCTTTTAGTCGTGTGAGTCGGACAATATGGAGTTGCCAACTCCATAGTAAGGAAAGTAGCTATTGGCTGTCCGAAAAGTCGCCAGAAGTCGCTAAATGACGTCATCGCCTAATTTGCATATCATGTAATGGCGGCTGTAGGCAAAAAACGTTCCCAACCCTTCAAGGATCAAAACTTGAAACCACCGGAGTTAAATCCAGACGACAGTAGATCAGAAATGTCTTTGCCTTTTGAGTATGTTTTGGGGTTTTAACATGACAGTTTGGCATAGAAATCCCCCTTACAATAAAGGCAGTATGCCCGTGTGTCATCTCCAATAAATGGCTTAAACCATCCTTTATACTCAGGGTTTGATTCCCACTCCTTTCTGTATTTTTGAGAATACAATTTAGACTGCCATGATGTTTAGCTTGTCACAGAGAAGCACACACACAGTGGACGAGGTGATTGAGTGACTGAGGCTGTGTGAGGCAAAGCAAAGCAAAGGCAGTTATTTATTATAGTGTGAAAGTGAGTGAAGAAACATTTACAATCAACATTTAAATCCCGCTCAAAACCAGGACGGCTTGGCAGTTGGCGCATGCGCAATTCATTTGCAGTCTCGACGCGGGGGAGTGTGGTTGTCTCCTCTCTGCTCTGACTGCTGCAGCAGCTCTGCTGCGGCCAGGCAACTGTCAGTCTGAGCGCCTGTGAGTACTATGGGAGGGAGGCGGGGCTCACGGCAGTACCCGCGGCTCGTTAACTGCAGAACAATGTGAGTCTCCAAACACCAGAAAAGTCGCTAATAACACCATTATAAATCGCTAGATTAGTCGTTAGTCGCTTTTGACACAAATAAGTCGCCGGAGGCTTTTGGAAATCCGCCAAATTTAACGAGAAAATCGCCAAGTTGGCAACACTGTATGGTCTAGCTGCGGCCGCGGACAGTACACGACGGTACACGACACGCCCACCTGACACGACGGTGGCTGAGAGGCATGAAAAGCGAATTGACGACACGCCCCCTACTACGCCGCCTACGGTGGCTGATAGATCGTACATGGCATGTTATTGTAGCATTTTAAGCAACTATTAGGCAAATACATTAATAACCTATCCGTTTGAGAACCCCTTGGAACCCCTTATACCATTTTGATGGTTGACATCTAATTTGAACAGTGAAAGCCAGAATGACATTTTATAATTTTTTTTAAAATTTATAATAATGTTTACTGTATATTATAACAATGCTTGTCATGTAGGAATACTGGAGGTACCGTTCCAATGATGTATTAATAATAAGATATATATAGCGCCTTTCATGAGACCCAAGGTCGCTTTAAAAAGAGGAACAAAACAACAAATAGATTTGGGGCAAAGGCCTTGGCAGACAGATGGGACTTGAGGGCCCTTTTGAAGGCGTCAAGCGTGGGGATGTTGCAGATCTCCGCAGGGAGAGCGTTCCAGAGAGTGGGGGCTGCCATACTGAAGGTTCTGTCCCCGAAGGATCGCAGGTTGGTGCGGGGGGCCAGAGTCTGAAGACCGCAGGTTCCGGGGTAGGGCATGTGGGAATTGTATTGATTTGATACAAGCAAGCCAGTGTTTCATTGTGTACTTTCAACTACAGTATATGGTCCGGCAAGTTCAGCATTCACTGTGATGTATATAAAATAAGACACTGCTACCGTTTTCCTCAATGAACATTTATTGAACAGAACATCATATGGAAAATCAGAGCTGGTCAACTTAAAAAAATATTGACCTGCAGGAGTTTTAAGCCTATTTAAAAACTCCTCGGAATCTTTCACAAGTCCTTCAGCCTTTGGTGCGCTTCCTCACTCATGTTCTTGGTGAGGTCATGAGAACAAAGTTCCATCTCACTGATAAGACAAGATGGTATAAAGAAGTCATATGTAATATTATAAAATCACATGCATCAGGGGTTGTACACTTTAATGTGTCCATTCACTAACCGACTCTTTAGGAAGGAAGCTGTAAGGCCTCTTGTTATAGGAGTGGTCCTCATCAGTGTCCAGGGGCATCAGACAGTCAACCATTATTTTGACAGTGCTTTACATGCACAGTTTAACTCCTCCAAAAATGATCCAGGCTCGATTCAGAATGACACAGTACCACACAAAACAAATGTTGCATGTACCATAAGTTCTATGTAGTATGTGTTTTAGGAGTAGTAACCCATTCTGAAACAGGCACACAGGGTCATAGATACATTGAGCGATACACTGACCATGGTGCTGCTTGCATGCGTCCTTTTACGACTGATCCTGAATGTAGGTGGGACATTGTCGCCCTGCCTTCCTCACTATAGTGAGCAAACTTCTTTTCATACCTACAATTAAGACACATTTTCTTGACCAGAAGGTTGCATTTTAGAGCCAGGTGTTCCCCCCCCAAATCTTCTTGATAATACAATTACAAATTCAAATGTTTTTGTAGCACTGCAGCATACCCTTCCAGTCCAAAGTTTTCCACCAGAATAACACACCACCACCTTCTCAGGAGAGACATGTCATGCTAAAGAAAGAGCATCAATTTTCATTAAGTTTGTTATAGCATTTTAATGTGACTTCTTTCCTTAATACTTACAATGCTGAAGTCAAAGCTGGCCTCCATGGCAAAATACCAGGCATACTGTAATGAGAATTTTATTAGCACATGCAAGACATAATGTACATGTGACGGCTTATGGTGAGTCACACACCTCCAATAAAATGTGGAGGTGATAACGCCACAAGAAAGATGCACGAGAGGCCTACCTATACGTGAACATTCCTTAAATCCTTTTATTATTGCACACCTGTTTATTTGCAAGTGCATAAAGTGAGAGAACATTGGGATTCAAACAAAACGTTTGTCAGGTCTAAGTGGTGGTGAATCACTATTGCATGTATTTACAAATGAAAGGTGTTAAGGAGCAATCAATCACGGGCTTATCCTTACTCACCATTATCATGAAGACACCACAGTCATTCCCATGGGTCTGCTTCGGAAGCCCCTGTATGAAGAAAAGTTAGTAAGAGCATAATAGCCAATTGTGACAATACGATAGTGACATTGCAAACACCTCAAAATCCAGAGCAGTCTTCTCTGTCCAGGATCCTGCAATGATTTGCTGTGCAACACCCCTGGGAAAGCAAGAGCAAAACTAGGTCAAACATCAGAAATTATAGTGAAAGAAAAAGAAAAAAAGGGGGGGAACAAAACGTTGTTGTAAGGCCTGGTGTGTTATTCTGTTGCTTCAGATTCAGAACATGAACCGCCAACTGTAGTCCACAGAACAGGGAACACAGTTGTAGAAAATAACAGCCAATAACACGTTCAGACCATGCAAATAAAGTAAATCATGTTATTGGAAAAAGTTCAACGAGGAAGATTTATCTCGGTCTCCCTTTTGATTGCGTTTGACACTTGGCTATTTCATTCAACTTCAGCTTTAAGGAAGCCGATCTTTTCTGACTATAACAATCCTTCCGTACTTAAAGGAGCAGTAGGTAAGTTTGAGAAACCGGCTCGAGATACACTTTGTTATATTCCATGGAATGCTCTTAACATGTTCCGTTAGCATATATGCTAACTGAACGTCGAGCATGTCAAGCTAAGATATATATATATATATATATATAGCAAAATTAAACACAATTACACTGCGCTAAACAGCCACATCGACAAACAAACGAGAACCTAAGTATGTAATTATATCTAAAACCACAATACGTGAATTACCTGTACTCGGTGCGCCATATTGTTTGTTGTCTGTTCTCTGTAAACCTCCATGTCTCCTTAAATATCCTTGCGTCAGCGTCTCACGTGTTGGGCGTGCTCTCTTCTGACCATATTTGGAAGTACAACTTTCGCGGCCGCAGCTAGACCCTTCTCTGCCACCGTAGTGTCGTGTCAGGTGGGCGTGTCGTGTACCATCGTGTACCGTCGTGTACTGTCCGCGGCCGCAGCTAGACCCTTCTCGAGTCGGACACCACCCCACATTGAACGCCGGATGCTAGAAACCTGCCACAGGCTGTCTCAGGCTTCCATCATAGGGAGAGGAGGGTGGCGCTTGGACGGCTGCTTTGTGCTACTACATCAGGTGAGACGCCATTTAGCTAACATTAGCGACCACATTACGTTTTCAGATGTTGTTGATTAACGTCCCTTAAAGGTGGGGTATGCAATTTATTTCAGAAACACTTATTGTTATATTCAATGGAATGCTCTTAACATCCCGATAGCAATGCATATATGAAATGCTTTGACAATAAATACATACAAAATGTTCATCTGTGGAAGCCGTAGCACTGTAAAAAGCACGACCAATCATTTTAGCCGGCCCGGCTAAAATAGCTGGATGGCCTACCTGCCTGTCAGCCTGAGAGGGGTCTGCAGGGCCGCCCCTCCCTACAGGCCAATCACGCAGGCTGCATGGGGCCCCGCCTTGTGCAGGGGGCCCCGCCCAGAGGGCCTCAGCTGCTGTGCGCAGTTCTCCGCTCAGTTCTCCGCGCACCCCCCGCGAGAGTTAGAGGTGACAAGAGGAGCACGTCTGTAACCCGACACCGTTGCAATGAATCGACATCTGACCAATCACGGCTTTGATACGGCCACTAGTGCAGGTGAAGGGATGTCGGTGAAAAGACAGTTTCAGTCCGGCGCAAAAAACAAAACATGAAGAAACTAGCGCATCACTCGAAGGTGGGTTATTGTATGAGTCAAATGTACAACTTACGAATGTTGTATAAGTCAATTTGCCAATTGCCATCTTAAAACATCAGCTGCAATTCACGACATGAAGAAGGCAGTCTCTGCAGAGCATATAGGCTAATGGAGATGCAGTTATTTCCAGCATTCTTTATTTACCATTCATTCATTCATTATGTGATGTCACTGAGCCAACAGACATCAGATGCCTTTGTGTTCGGGGAAAATTGGGGGATGAGTCTTCTGCCTTCTTCAAGACCTGCACCGTAAGTTACTTTAACCCTTGTGTTATGTTCACATTTTGCACCCTTTGGTAATTTTTGGGTGAAATTGACCCGGGACATTATTCAGAGTTTAAAAAAATACGGAACTAAATTTAACTTACACTATTCCTTATATATATTGTCTTTAACTAATTCACCAGCAATATAAATGAAATATGATACGTTTTTTAAATATGTATGATGCTTTTCATTATAAACAGTGGAAGCTACTTTTTGGTGGACGATGTAGAATTAAGTCAATCTCTTTATTTCTCTGTTAGGATGCGGCTTATAAGGAGGTGTACAGTCAAACTCCACTGGGAATCCTCTGCCGGAGAAAATCCTCAGCTCAACCTATCCAGCATGGCAATCGTCTTGTAGGGGAATGTGGTGATGGATGGACCGGCTAACCTGCCTCAGGCCTTCTGTGTCCTGTTCATACTCATTTATGCCCTGCAAATGGAGTACCCAAAGTGCATGAAAAACACTTTCCACTTTGTTCAGCAGGTGATATTAAAACTTGGTAAAGTTGAGCTGGCACCCAAAATTCTGACTTTGAAAAATCAGCTTACATTGTAAAACGGGGTTCTGAAAAGTTGGCTACTGTTACATATGGCAAGTATTTAGGCTTCCATATTGCATTTTGTTGTTGTTGCATGTTTGCACTGTTTGACCTATTAAGCTTGTTGGCATTTCCATTTGTGTTTTATTCTATAAACTACTGACAACATCTCTCCCAAAAGTCATTTAGAGGATTTATTTGCAGAAAATTACAACTGGTCAGAATAATAGAGAAAATGCTGTGTTTTCAAACCTCAAATAATGCAAAGAAAACAAGTTCTTCATTATTAAACAACACAATACTAATGTTTGAACTTAGGAAGAGTTCAGAAATCAATATTTGGTGGAATAACCCAGATGTTTCAATAACAGCTTTCAATGCGTCTTGGTTGCTCGCCACCAGTCTGTCACATTGTTGCTGGGTGACTTTATGTATCTCCTGGCACACAAACTCAAGCAGCTCGGCTTTGTTTGATGGCTTGTGACCATCCATCTTCCTCTGGATCACATCCAGAGGTTTTCAGTGGGGTTCCAACGGTTCCATGACAGGGTCTTGATCTGGTCTTCCTCCATTCACACCTGAATTGAGCTGAGGGTGGGTTTATCCAGCAGGACAATGCTCCATGCCCCACAGCCAGGTCAATCCAGATGTGATCCAGAGGAATATGAATGGTCACAAGTCATCACACAAAGCCAAGCTGCTTGATTTTTGTGTGCCAGGAGTGGCTTAATAAGTGACCCAACAGCAATGTGAAAGGTGTTGCAGAGCAGCCAAGACGCATGAAAGCTGTGCTTGAAAATCTGGGTTATTCCACCAATTATTGATTCCTGAGCCCTTCCTATGTTAAAACATTAGTATTGTGTTGTTGAAAAATGAATTTTAAAAATTGTTTTCTTTGCACTATTCTAGGTCTGAAAACACCATATTTTTTGGTTACTTTGAACATTTGGTATTTTTTGTAAATAAATGCTCTAAATGAGAATATTTGGAGTTTGGGATAAATGTTGTCAGTCATTAATTTATAGAATAAAACACAAATGTTAATCCAGTTTTTACCAATAGTAAAACGAGAGAAACTGATAATTTTACAGAGGTCTCTTAATTTTTTCAGAGCTCTACATAATAAATATATAGATCTATATATCTATTTTTATAGATATATATTATATATATATAGAGAGATTGCTATTGTTTCATGTGAAAAATGTTCTCAGGAAAATGTATGGTACAATATTTTTGCCACAGTTTGTATAGGAAGCTCAATTTCATTGTATCCAAATGAAACACTCAAGTTTTAATAAAAGGTAACACTTTATTTGTGTCTTTTTTCTTTTTTGTAGTTGACGGAATACAAAATATAAATACGAAATGTAACCACTTTCAACTAAAAATTATAAGTTAAATAATTGGAAAAAAACTATTGATATTACACAATATTTTAAGTAAAATCAACTTCACATGAAGTGCATTGTACTTCAAATAACAATTCCAGCCCTTGAATAATTTAAGTTTAATTTACTCAAGTTTTCATAATGCGTTACTTAAAAAAATAGAAGTAAAATCAACTTGACATGAAGTGGATTGTACTTCAAATAACAATTAAAGTCCTTGATTAATTTAAGTTTACTCAAGTTTTCATAATGCTTTACTTACATTTTTAAAGGCAACCACTTTACTCTATTTTTTTAAGTAGATTCAACTTATCCGGGCTTACAGTGTATATTAAACATATACATTGCTCAAACTCCCAAGCCTGAAGGCAGAGATTACATGTGGTACTTCACACTCACATGTATCCTGGTAGGTGATCCCAGAACGAGGGAACATGAGCAGCATGGCCTGCTTTGATGAGCTGTCAGATTATGGATTACCAAGGAGCCCCATTAAAACTCACAGCAGCTATGTTCCACTTTCTGCTCCCCATCAGCTGTTTGTGGAACCTGTCAGAGAGATCAGGACACTTGCCAGAGTTTAAGGGGGGAGAGGGGCGGGATAGTAACGAGGGGGATGATGTGATGGCAAAGTAAGAACAAGACAATTACAAGGAGGCAAGCAGAGGAACGTGAGCTGACAGTGGAAGAGCAGAGGGTGGGAAGAGAAGGCTGGCTGATAACCAGCACGCCATTAGATTTGATTTATGGAGTTGTGTCCTCTATTGAACAGCCTATTTTCAGCTTCCTCTATGCGAGTGTAGGAGCTCACTGCTGGCACATGTCAACACTGCACTCTACAGGCTGGATGGGGAGCTTCAATATAAAGGCGACGTGGAATGGTCATTTTTTACATATTTATTTTTAATTCTGAAAAAAAACATAAAGGTGAAATTGTAAGCTAAGAATAGGTATACATTTTGTAAATATGGAGGGGGCAGTATGAGTAAGATTATATGAAACATGAAATATAAAATAGTCAGTTATCTGGACAAAGGCTGGATGAAGAGAAAAAACAGACACAGATAGTCTGAATATTTATGCTTTTTCAAAGGATTTTATGCCAACATATATACAATATAATTTGTATTTATAAATATCTTTGTAAATAACTTGTGTCTTGTAATTTGGCATGACAAATAATTTAAACTATAATAATTGAATGAACTAAGAAGCAGCAAGTAAAGTCAGTCAGTTTGATACTGTTTCTACTCTTGTCAACCCCAGAGCCAATTATCAATGGCAGCTGTTGTGTTATGGAGCAATTTAGACAGATTGCCCTGTGTGAAATTTGGTTTTAACTGAGCTAATTTCACAACACAAACTCAAACATCTAACCCAGCCATTCATTTATAAAAGAATATAATAAACAGTGTGTGCGTAGAATTATAAACATAGAGAAAACCAGATGCTAAGGTGACTTTACTTAGCTTACTCCTGTAACAGTTTCTGCAACAGTATGTGGCCGTTGTGCTATACTCCCCCCCCCCCCCCCCCCCCCCCCCCCCCCCCCCCCCCCTTCTCTAATATTATACCAGACTCCAAGGACACAGTAATTGATGTTACAAACATTGCAATTGTTCCTCAAACCCAACTATCCTTCTCTTGCACAAAAACATTTAAGACAATTGGATTCGATTTTAAGACCTTGGCTGGAAAAAAGGAACATAGTTAAAAACATTGCTGACCAAAGTCTGTGTGCATAGGCCTACGTTTAACTTTGGATGGAGTAAACACAATAACCTTAAAGCCACATTGGATTTTATGAGAACAGAAAAAGTATTTTCTCCTGAACTTAATGTTCCCCATCTATATTAGCTGTGACGCAGAATGATTCCCTGAGAGCAGGGCCGCCCCTGGCCAACTTGGGGCCCCAAGCAACATTGTGAGATGAGGCCCCCCCCCCCCCCAACCGACAGGAGTGAACACATTTTTTTGTGGAAACAAAGTAGGCTACTTTGCAAATATAATTCCTGTTTATTATTATTATCAACGGTTACTTTTTTATACAGTGAGGTAAATGGTAAATGTGCATGTATGTCGTTCAGTATGCGTTTACAGGTGAATTTTGCATTTCCTGCCAAATACTAGCCTCAAAAAGATAAAAACATAATTAATGCAAATAAACTACTTCTACTAATAATCATAATCATAATCAATTGAATAATAAAAATACTATATTGTTTTATTATAATATAGTTGTAATATAGTCCAGACAAAACATGCTTATGACATGCTCAAAAACTGATATTTCTTAAATCTGTATTCTAGTTCTCTCTGTCAGCAATGTGTCAACAACTACACACATTTCTATCAGTGTTTCTCTGTGTTGTGGTTGACATGATGATGACTGTTAGGAGTTAAGGGGAGAGGCTGAGCGTCACCATGAAATGTGCAAATTGACATAAAAATGAATAAAAGGGGAACAAATGCTCCATGTTTTTTAGGCTGTAAACTTTAACTGTTATGTAAGCCAAGTAGACAGACAGTGTATCACTCTTCCTCCTGTACGTTAGCAGATAAAAGGCATCACATAATGAATGAATGGTAAATAAAGAATGCTGGAAATAACTGCATCTCCATTAGCCTATATGCTCTGCAGAGACTGCCTTCTTCATGTCGTGAATTGCAGCTGATGTTTTAAGATGGCAATTGGCAATTTGACTTATACAACATTCGTAAGTTGTACATTTGACTCATACAATATGTTGAATTATGAAATGTAATATATGAATTCTGTTTATTTAATACTCTTATACTAATCACTTCCTGTATTCCCGTGATAAAAGGGACATGCGCAATAAAACGTGTCACTTCCGTTTGAAGCACAGCTGATGGTGTATGTGTGTATTTATTCCTCTGTCACGTTAACTATGTTCACGGTATTCCTGCCCTAAGATCATGGCATCGCTAACAGGTTATGGGCCCAGGAGGGACCATGGAAGCCGGTGGAACCGTTTGTGTTTCGACGGAGATGAGAAGAACTACGAGTTATGGGAGACAAAGTTTTTGGGTCATCTGCGACTGCTAGGATTGAAGGCTGCCATCCTAGAGGAGCCAGGTGAAGAGGATGAGGCTGATGATCAGAAAAAACGAAGAAGCCTATGCGCAATTGATCCAGGTACTGGACGATAAAAGCCTTTCACTGATCATGAGAGAAGCAGCGGACAACGGAAGAAAAGCGTTACAAATATTGAGGGACCACTACGCTGGGAAAGGGAAACCACGGGTGATCAGCCTCTACACTGAACTAACGTTGCTGCAGAAAGCCGCTAATGAGAGCGTCACTGACTATATTATTCGTGCCGAAACGGCAATTACAGCACTGAGAAATGCTGAAGAGACTCTTAGCGACGGGCTGCTGATAGCCATGATTTTAAAGGGACTGCCAATCTGTTTTAGGCCGTTTGCCATCCACATTACACAAGGGGATGAGAAGCTAACTTTTGGTGAGTGCAAAACAAAGTTGAGGAGCTATGAAAGCACAGAAAAATACAATGCCAACTTGAGTGAGGAATCTGATAATATTATGAAAGCGAGTGGCTGGGTGAAGTGGAGAGATGGCCCCAATATCACCTGCTACAACTGCGGTCAGAAAGGACACCGGGCTCGTGAGTGTCGAAGTGCGAGCAGCAAAGACCAGAGACAGTGGTGCAGTTTTTGCAAAAATTCCACACATATAGATGCAAACTGCAGACGCAAAGAGAGAGACAATGCTAAACAAGCAACTGACGTTGAGGACCAGTCATTTGTTTTTAAAGTACGTGACAGTCCAGTAACCGGAGTTATACATAAAGGGCTGATGGTCGACACCGGAGAAACGTCACACATAATAACGAACATCGACAAGTTTAAAAGGTTCGATGAGACTTTTCAACCGAAAGACCACTTTGTTGAATTGGCTGACGGGACAAGAACAAGTGGTGTCGCTTTGAAGAAAGGAGAGGCGGAGGTCTGCCTGCAAGACACGGAGGGACGACGAGTGACAGCGATGCTGAAGGACGCGCTCTATATACCGTCCTATCCACAAGACATTTTCTCTGTTAAAGCAGCGACAGCCAACGGAGCATCAGTGAACTTCCGTCAGGGTTGTAACCAGCTGATTCACCAGAGAGGTAAAATATTTGACATCAAGGAATATGATAGACTTTATTTTTTTAAACACTGTGGACTGTGAAGCTGAGGACGATGCATGTTATGGATGTTATGACATTCAAACATGGCATGAAATACTTGGTCACTGTAACTATGATGATGTGTCACAACTGGAAAAAGTCACTGAGGGGATGAAAATTAAGGGTGGGATTGATAAATCTAACCTTAACTGTGAAGTGTGTACTCAAGGTAAATTTGCTCAGAGTAGGAACAGACAACCAGATGCAAGAGCTAAAGCAAGCGCTCAATCTTGTGCACACTGATTTTAGCAGGTCCCATTGAGCCAGAGGCTAAGGAGGGATTCAGATACACATTGGCTTTTACAGATGACTTTTCAGGGGCAGTATTTGTGTATTTCCTAAAAGCTAAAAGTGATACTTTCAAAGCCACAGAAAAATTCATTGCTGATGTCGCACCTTATGGTAAAATCAAATGTATAAGGTCTGATAACGGTACAGAATTCACCGGGACAAACTTTCAATCGCTCCTTAGACAACATGCAATACGACATGAAACTTCAGCACCTTACTCACCCCATCAAAATGGGACAGCTGAGAGAAACTGGAGAACACTTTTTGAAATGGCAAGATGCATGCTTCTTGAGAGCAATTTACCAAAGAAGCTATGGACATATGCCGTCATGACTGCAGCTGTAATACGTAACAGATGTTACAACAGACGTGTAGGACAGACACCTTATTATATGCTGACAGGACGTAAGCCGAACCTC